ATGCAGTTGAATAGATTTAGTGCTTAATAATACATAGCAACAATTATTACATGAATCCTAAGACAATTCACAAAATACATGAATGCATTAAACTGTGAAATACAGATTTCGTACATTTAATTAAAATGCACAACATCAGTACCCCCCCCCCCCTTCACAATCTAAAAACTTTCTTTTTAATTCAAAGTCACTAGGCAACACTAAAGATTTCCACTTATTGCTTTTCAGTCCAAGACAGGAAGTTGAGGAATAAAGTTGACAGGACATCCTGAACTGTCCTCGCTACCAGCTTATGAGGGAACCAGCTGCAGTGGACAAAGTACGTTACATCATAGGATAATAGGTAAGTCTCCGGAGTAGTGTTTGTAGCAATTCTCGTACTTGGTCCTGCATCGAAGATTCAGGACTATTGATATTTATCTCTGCATGGTTTGGTTCTTCCCAGAAACATGTTACTGGTGGTGGTCCCTATATTCTTCTGGCTTTTGTGGTGAGGAATGTTTCATTTCTAGCTCTTTTCTGATCACATTTTGTCTATCTAGCTGTTTGTCTGTCTGTCTGTCTGTCTGTCCATCTGTCTGTCTGTAAACTTTTCATATTTTCGACTTCTTCTCTAGAACCCATGGACCAATTTCAACCAAACTTGCCACAAAGCATCCTTGGGTGAAGGGGATTCAAGTTTGTTCAAATAAAGAGCCACACCCTCATTCAAGGGGAGATAATTGGGAATTAATGAAAATTTGATGGTATGTTTTAAAAATCTTGTTTTCAAGAACCACTGTGCCAGGAAAAATGAAACTTATGGAGAAACATCCTCAGGTAGTGTAGATTTAAATTTGTTCAAATCATGACCCCCGGGGGTAGGGCGGAGCCACAATGGCTGACCAAAGTTTAACATAAAAATATATAGGAAAATTCTTTAAAAATCTTCTTCTCAAGAATGACAAAGCCATAATTGATCCTATTTATATGGAAGCATCCTCAGGTAGTGTCAATTCAAGTTTGTTCAAATCATAACCCCCGGGGTAGGGCGGGGCCACAATGGAAGATCAAAGTTTTACATAGAAATATAAAGGAAAAATCTTTAAAAATCTTCTTCTCAAGAACAGCAAAACCCTGATTGATCATATTTATATGGAAGCATCCTTAGGTAGTGTAGATTCAAGTTTGTTCAAATCATGTTCCCCGGGGGTAGGACGGGGCCACAAAGGATGATCAAATTTTATATAGAAATATATAGGAAAATTCTTTAAAAATAACCTTCTCAAGAAAAGCAAAGCCATTATTGGTCAAGGGACTACTTTTGGATTTAAACTTTTCAATAAAAAACCAATTTTTACTTTTTCCTAGCCACAGTGCTCAGGTGAGCGATGTGGCCCATGGGCCTCTTGGTTTTTTTTTTTTTTTTTAAAATGATCAATCATTAAATATAAATAAATCAGTTGTTAAAAAATTTGCTTCATATTTGAAGTGCTTTAAACCGACCCTTTGATGAAAGTGACCAGTGTTTTTTGCACCTTGGAAGGTTTATTGGTAAAATATAAGAAGGAAGTTATGATTTTGGTGTCACTATTGTTGTTATTTAAGTTTGATTTGATTTTTATATTACGAGTATTATGAAACTGTTATTTTGTTACTGAACGATGGTTAATTTTGATTGTGAACAAATGTACAAAGATGAGGAGTATAATATAGTTGGCTATGTATATTGCCCAATTTTTGAACATATTATGTAATAAATAATAATAACAACCTTTGAATAATTGGAAAGACAATATTATAAATATGATAGCATTTTTGTACATGAGCATACATTTTTGAAAGGAAAAATAAATTATTCAATTGCATTAAAAAAAATATTTTGTTTCATATTCTTGCGAATTATCAGATCATTCTTCTATTATTTAAATACTCTGTCATTATGAAACCTTGTTAATAATTAAGTAAATATTAATTGTACATTTGCACCAATTTTTACATGTTTGTGCAAAATTATATACAGGAACAATTCTGAACAAATATATGCAAGTGAGTTGTAAATTTGATATGTAATGCATACATTACAAAAACCCATGACAGTGTTCACTAAAATGAAATGTATGGACTCTTATATAAATACTTGGTATATGTGATATGGATATTATGGATGATATTTTTGAGAATGACACAAGTAATGAAATTTTTCAGCATTGAATTGGATTCTTGAACCAGAGCCATGTGAACCTGGTCCACCTGTACCTCTCATTGAAGACCTGTTAACATCACCAGAGTATGTTCATTCTGATACCCCTATGGTATGGTTACAGCATGCATTATCCCTGAATCCATTAAAAGAGCTGCATTGGCAACGAAACAACCCAATGTGGTCGATTGTAAGGAAATATAGCATATCAGCTTCCAACTTTGGTGCAGTTCTCAGTTCTAAGCAAAGGCGGTAAGACGTGTGATTAAATTTTTGCGAAAAAGACTTTTAAAATTACAGTCAAACTTTGTTATCTCAAACCCATTATCTCATATTTCATGGAAATGTCACAGTAATTTTGAAGTCCAATCCATTTATAAAAGACTGGGACATTTTATTCTTGATAACTATTTATGTGTTATTCTTGAATCCACGGATATTTCCAACATTTTTCTTGGTCTCATTGAGTTTGAGATAATGAGGTTCGACTGTAATGACTAGATATTTGTACATAAAGATGCAGGAAATATAAGATTAATAACCAAAAATCATATTTTCTTCTCCAGATTGACATTGTCACTGAAGAAACAGCTGATGTCGGCTTACAATCTGGAGTCCATCAAGGCTGTTGCATGGGGTATCACTCATGAAGATGATGCTTTGAGAAAGTATGAAAAGGACTTAGATGCAGCTGTAGAGCAGTCAGGTATACAGCACAAAATAATATTCCTTCAATCTCTGACATGTTAACATTCATTGTGTCAAAACAAATAACAGGACTTATCCTGGTGACAAACAGAAATCAATTACTGAAGTCTAATTGTAAAAAAAACTAGAAATATGTCCATAGGACATGAATGCCCCGCCGAGGATATATTAGTAAAGCAACATGAAATTTGTACATGTATAAAATTTGATCAGTTTGGTTCAGGCAGGGCTTATAGTTAGTTGGGAATAAAAATGTAGGTCCAGCATCCAAAGCAAGTCTGGTAGTGTCCATCCCTAGATGCATCATCCACGCAAGTTTGGTTCAGGTAGGGTTTATAGTTACTTGGGAATGAAAATATAGGTCAGATCCAGCATCCGAAGCAAGTCTGGTAGTGTCCATCCCTAGCTGCATCATCCATGCAAGTTTGGTTTAGGTAGGGCTTATAGTTACTTGGGAATGAAAATGTAAGTCAGATCCAGCATCGAAGCAAGTCCGGTAGTGTCCATCCCTAGATGCATCATCCATGCAAGTTTGGTCTAAGTAGGGCTGATAGTTCCTTAGGAATAAATCTGCTCCAAAAACTTCAACCTGGTCACTCATCTGGAAAATGTAGGTCAGATCCAGCATCCGAAGCAAGTCTGGTAGTGTCCATCCTTAGATGCATCATCCAAGCAAGTTTGGTCTAAGTAGGGCTTATAGTTCCTTAAGAATGGACCTGCTCCAAAAACTTTAATTTGGTCACTCATCTGGAAAATGTAGGTCAGATCCAGCATCCGAAGCATGTCCGGTAGTGTTCATCTCTAGATGCATCATCTATGCAAGTTTGTATCAACATGTAAAGTTTGATAACACCATCTTGAATGGTATGTTTAAAACTGAGCTAAACACTATTTAAGAAAAGTCAGGTCAAGGTCAAAAAATGTTAATGCAGTTGCATAGCTCTCATCAATATCTATCAGCATATGAAGTTTGATGAAAATATCTTGGATAGTTTCTTTGAAACTTAGCTTTGAACAGAGCTAAACACAAAGTGGGACGGAAGGACAGAAGGACGGAAGACAGACATGACAAACACTATATGCCCCGAGCCATATTCATGGCGGGGCATAAATATTCAGTTACCAACATATTCCAGAAAATTTGCTTTTTGAAGTGGAAGGATTATAAAAGCTCTACTTAGACTTTGTTTGCATTACAAAATCAATTGTATTATGGTTTGTTTGCATTCAGTAGTATTATAATTTTTTCTGAAAAGGATATGGTTGCATGAATCCGGAGTGTTGGGAGCTTCACCTGATGGCTTAGTTGTTCGACCACCAACATGCAGTGTATTTTATCAAACTCCAGAAGCCAAAGACGCCATTCCTAATATTGTAGAGGTGAAGTGTCCATATACAGCATCGTCTTCAACAGTAGCAGATGGGGCACAAAATTTGAAGGATTTTTCATAGGTAAATAACATTAAAAATCTGTATTGTCCAGTACTTTGAAATTAAAAATCTTGGTGAGTAAATGATTTCAAAACATGTATTAATTTACAAGTGCAGCTGTTCAATATGGTATGAAGATATTGAAAAAGGAGGGGATATGTACTGGTATAACACAACTTAAGTGTTTTTTGATTTTTTTTTTAGATCTTAAACAAGATACCCTGTGCCTGAAAACCAGTCACCCATACTATCATCAAATTCAAGGCCAGCTACACATATGTAACAAAACATTCTGCGACTTAATTGTGTGGACAAGAGTAGACTGCATTGTGATTAGAATAGTAAAAGACATTGAATGGACAGCAAATGTTCCAAAGCTGATAGATTTCTACATTAACATTTTCATTCCAGCACTGATGGAAAACTGAGTTCTGGTTTGAACTTCTTGACACTTAGTTTTGTACCTCTAGAATTTTCTAACAATGGAAAATGGGTAATCATGTTAAATGTGTTGAATGTTCCTAAGTCTCATAAATGTATGATATGATATGTCACAATCCATCATAAAACTTCTGGCTTATAAGACTATTTTAAATAGCAATGATGATTAATAAAATCTATGTACTACATAAAAAAAGAATATCAAAATTTAGAATCATTTTATTAATGAATTGCAGATGTTATTCTCAAAGTGAAAATGTAACATTTTGGTCTTTCTTAATAGATAAATTGTTGAAAACATGAATTTGTTGAGTTGTGCTTTAAAGGTAAATATACTTTAAACTAGAGATTTAAAATTATAAGTAAACCCTCTTCCAAATTATATTGTCAAATGAAGAATGGAATTGCCAAACATTCTTGTAATAAATCCATGCTAACAAAAGGGATTTTCATTTTCTGAAGTATATGTATTACAACATACTACAGAGTTAACAAATATAACCATTGACATTGATAACAAATCAAAATTTGCTTATCCCTTGCACTTTGGTATGAATATCTTCACTGTTTAGTGTATACTGTCACACGCCAATGCAAATTTATAATAAGTACATGTATCTTTAAGTAATTTCTTTCAAAAGTGGAGCTTGCAAGTTTACAAGACAAGAACAGAGTTGAAATATTTTTGTTGAGATTGGTCTGGAAGTAGATGGTATGTGACGGAGAATCTCGTAATTCTTTATCCTCTCGTTGGCTCTTTCCACATGAATAAGTGCTTTAGCAATCTTGTAACACAGTGCTGCTTCTTGTATGGTAAACTGGCCTCGTGTCGATAAAAGAGCTTTTATAATTAAGCAGACACCCTGGGGCAACTGGTCATGAATGGTGAAACCTTTGACCACCAAAATAAGGTCTCCAGCTTTGAACTTTCGTAAAACTTGGCTGTGACATACAATAGCTACATCAGAAGACAGTAGAACCTGGGTACAGCATGGAGCAAAATGTAAGTGCACCATTTGGAGGCACGCAAGTTACTGCTTTAAAAGTATGCAACTTTTGTACATACTGTAGGCCATGGCCTGATTATCCATATGTGTTGGGATGTCCTGGATTGTTTCAATTGCATCCATGGATGCTCTAGCAGAGGAAAAATCCTCAAAAGATTTTGACAGAGACCCTGAAAAAAAGTTGGAAACAAATTAATTTGATTATTTGTAATTGTGTAAAAAAATTGTGTTACAGTCAATCTTTCAAGAATACAATAAATTTAACTGCATTAAATTTTTGCAAGTCATTATGATAAATTTTAAAACAAACCTTTTAAGCTGACTTGGAAAACATTCTACGCTACATTCTACACTACGCCATCAGACAGCATCTTGTATAGGGAAAAGTCCACTAATTATTTTCCCATAGAACTCCATACAAACCTTAGGCCTTCTCAGTACTTTACTATGACAATTTCAGAAAAATCTTTAGCATCATTTCAAACTTTGTTCTAAGCCCTAACAAAAAATACTGAAAAAAATACATGGTCCCATGGCGTTTATAGGTCAAAATTGCAGTTATTTTCAACTTTTATAGATTCGCAGTAAAGAACACGCGGCATAAAAAATCAACCCCCACTCCTAAAATCTTCCCTGGCATTTCTATAGTTTCTGTAATATTCCCTCATCCCATCATTTATTTCAAAGGTCATTAATTTTACTTTAAAATGAAAACAATTAAATACCTGATTTCAGCCAATGGCGTAACGCCTACCCATTCAGTATTCGGTTTAATGTTCCATAACAAACAAAGCCATGTGTGCATCCGGGGATTTGGTGCTCTCATTCCTATACTTACATACTTACCTGTCCCAGAATTAGTCAATTGTGGTAATTTCAAAGACTATACACCTACCTGTGAACATGTATGAAATTTGAGTCCTGTGACTTCAGTGTATTGGATACTGTGACCATCTCAAATGATGACACCTTACTGCTACCAGCACAATTCAAAGGAGTGAATGACGTCTGGGCCGGTGATGATATTTGGATATATTGGTGACTGTAAGAAATAAAATATTTGTACAATGAATTGTTTTTGTGCTTTAATGTTAATAAAGTGATATTAAGTCAAAATTGAGTCAATAATTTCATAAGGGTGGATTCTACCCAGAATTAGGTAAAAAGCTCCAAAATTGGATAAATCGTAGTTAATTAAGCAAAATTCAAACGTTTTAAAAAGACTGATACAGAATTTTTTTATGCTTATGCAAAGGATATTATTTAAGACTCTGATATACTAATTGATTCTTATCTAATCCCTCCTATTGCTCAAGTATGTACAAAAAAGTTTCCCCACCCCCCAGTGAAAAACGCTTAAAGAAATAGCAGGTGCCCCCTTTTATTTTTGTTTACAATTAATTTAGACAAGTTTAAATCAATCCTTTTGATAACAAATCAAAGTTCAATGTCTGTAGTCTTATACTTTACAATCAGAAGCTACTTTTTGAATTTTATTCTAAGAAAAGGAGAATTTAAATAATTTTTTTTAAAAATTAAAGAAAAGCAAAAACTGACTTCAAACCCCAAAATGTACTATACAATAAGAGGCTGGAAAGTTAATAAATAAAAAATTTACCTGCAATGTACAGAAAACTGTCCGACAAAATACATCGGGTGGGTAGGGAGTCTCCATTTTCTTCTTATATAGAGAAAATGCCCCTGCTGATCAGAGACCTAACACTCCCAAATAATAACAAAATATGTTAACATAACAGTCAATCTAAGATGTTCATCCCTCAATGGCAACAAGTTTTTATTACAGTAACTGAAATTGTTAGGAAATAGGAAATCACAATTGGAATTCCTTTAAATGTACCTTCTCTTTGTTGTATTTAATATCGTGGATTGATATTGGCTTCCTTTTACTAGACTCTATTTTTAGGGCAAGCAATTCCTTTTCCAGTTGTATTTCTGTTGAGAGGCGCTGCATTTCTTGAGTACAGTTAAATGTGCAGGATACTGAGTAGTTGTGCTCTGATATCAACTGAAAATATATTGTAAATCATGTACAGTTAAAAGAACTTTATATATTATTAAAAATTATTGAAAATGTTTCAGTGTTGGTCATTTGTCATCATTGGTGTTTTAAATGAGCTTTACTTTTTCTTGATCTTGACATTTTGGTGCTTGTGGAATCTGCAACTGGTCCATCTGTGAAGATGACAGGGACTCCTCACTTTTGAGTTTTTTCCTCCTTTGTAAAATAATTAAACTTGAATTATTTTTTTATTCAGTTGTAAGCTACTCTGTTTATACATGTACCCTTTTAAAGTTTTTTAGTAAAATATTCTCAATTAAACTCCACCCACCCACCATCCAAAAAAAAGATGTCGGTCACATTTTGAAAAATAATTTCACCTTTTTGTACATTCAGGATCAGAGAAATCCATGGCCTTTCCTTCATTCCATGCAAAATATGCAGGGTCCCCCTCCTTCTTACCATCCTTAAAGTGGCAGGAGCAGATGCGATCATTCTGATCTCCTGGTTGGCGATCAGCTCGTCTAAAAATATACATTATACAAAGACTGAGTGAAGGAGAATTAAAAAGCAAAACCTGTTCATTTAGCATGTTATTATCAAATAGCCTAAAAGACTTATTTTTTCATTATTTTTTTTTAAATGTTTCATTTACTTGCAAGTACAAGATAACCATGTGCATAACATTAACAAACGGTAGCAGTATTTGGTAGTAATGATACGAAATAAAATGAAATAAAAACAGCTGTTAAACAAAAATTAATCTTGCTACAAATTGCACAGTTTTTGTAGTATGTACTCTTCATTATTCTTCTGCTATATTGATTACTACGAGATTTAACTTTTTAGCATGCATGTATAAATACTGTATCTGACAATGCAGCATCGTGACATATCGTTACAAGTACCTACAAATTTTGTCAATATATCTACGTTTACTGAGTTTTTTCCCTAGCAGGCCGAAATATCTCCATCATGTCACCAGGAACAACACTCGTGCAGCTCGTAATAAGTGCTGCAATAAACAAACTGATGATTGTGTTTTTTCTCACCTGCATGGTTTTCCCGACGCTTCAGCTACTTTCGTTATTTCTAACCAATGAAAATTGTCCTTACTTTTCTGTTGCGTCATGCAATTTTATTGCACGCATCACTGAATTGTAGAACACACATCACAAGATTTCGAATATACATCACAAGATTATCGAACATACATCACAAGATTTCGAATATACATCACAAGATTTCGAACATACATCACAAGATTATAGAATATACATCACAAGATTTCGAATATACATCACAAGATATTGAATATACATCACAAGATTTTGAACATACATCACAAGATATTGAATATACATCACAAGATTTCGAATATACATCACAAGATTTCGAACATACATCACAAGATTATAGAATATACATCACAAGATTTCGAATATACATCACAAGATATTGAATATACATCACAAGATATTGAATATACATCACAAGATTTTGAACATACATCACAAGATATTGAATATACATCACAAGATTATAGAATATACATCACAAGATTTCGAACATACATCACAAGATTATAGAATATACATCACAAGTTTTAGAATATACATCACAAGATATTGAATATACATCACAAGATTTTGAACATACATCACAAGATTTTGAATATACATCACAAGATTTCGAACATACATCACAAGATTTTGAATATACATCACAAGATTTTGAATATACATCACAAGATTTCGAACATACATCACAAGATTTTGAATATACATCACAAGATTATCAAATATTGCAACGTTTGACATGCCATAGCTTGCACAATAATCATAGATTAATTTAGCGATATATTGTGATGTTAGGCTTAAAATGGGTAGCCGAAAAGGTTCCAAATGACGAACTTAAGTGCACTCATTCTTTGCATCCAAAGGACATCATATTACAAATCAGAAGCTAGCTGCAATGATGTAGCCCTCTCCCCCTTTTTTTTGGGGGGGGGGGTTCAGATAATAAAATCGGAGAGGGCTACATAAGCCTACATTATTGCAGCTAATCAGAAGCCTGTGATATGAATAACGATGAAATCAAAGAGAAAAATATACTAACTTTTCTCTCCATATAACAATGTTCATTGTTCTCTTGAAAGAACAAGTAGTACATAAAATATTTTTGATTTCATTATTCTTCCTACATTTTATTAGCAGCTAGACAGGGAAACAAACTCTCCGTTCATTTTGTAGTTCATCTGTCTTCAAAGCACGGAAATTTTCATGTTTCAATTTTTGAAAACGTGAATAAGAGATAAGTAAATTTAAGTATAGAAATAAAATCTAACAAATCGACACAAACATCTGATAAGTAGTGATAGAAATACTACAGTATACCAGCATAACTTAGATTTATCCCTAAAATATGCGTTCAATACAGTGAAATTACACACTGGTATAACTCTTGAAAGGCTTGTGAGTAGAAACGATGCACAGAAAACATAACAAGTACAAATTACACACTGAGATGCATAATCTGGATCCAATGAAAATAATTCTTTTTTTTTAAACAAAAAAAAATTATCTTTCAAAGCTTTTACGTTTTGAATAGTCTCCCGCGTTACGCATGATATATAGAGTCAAAAAGTAAGAAGCTGATCCTTATATCGCAGATTTGAATCCCACTGGGGAGAGTACAGACGGGCCTTTTGGATGAGACCGTTAAAAATAGAGGTTCCGTGTCGCAGAAGATGCTGAGTGCAGGAAAAAATCCCTCTAGCTTCAATGACCGTACTTGTAGGTCTAAACTTTGCAGCCCTCCCCCTGCAACTGGTGGCATCTCATTACTAGTGAAAATTTCTTGGAAGGGACACTAATCAAACAAACAAAATAAGTGTTTGAAATTTTTTATGCACCCGGATCGATTTCGAGATCATGGGTGCATACTGTTTTTGTCCTGTCTGTCTGTTTGTCTGTATAATCTGTCTGTTGTCAACTTTAACCTTCGCCATAACTTTTGAACCATGAGAGATAGAGATTTCATATTTGGTATGCCTACTCCATTAATATACGTTTTTTTTTTTCAAATGACACCAATATCAATAACCTTGTGACCTATATGGTAAATATAGCTTTTTCGATCCTTCGCCATAAATTTTGAATCATAGGAGAAAGACTTCATATTTGGTACGCACACTCCACTAAATAAGCTCTTACAAATGACACCAAGGTCATTGACCTTTTGACCTTGACTGTGACCTATATGTTAAAAATAGCTTTTTTGAATTTTGCTGCCACCGGACGCATATAAAGTGTTTCACAAACACATCTTGTTTTAAAACGCGTGAAATAAAAGTTGAAAGTATCAAGTTAGCACTATGACACATATGATTTATTAAAGATAAAATCAAAACTCTCTCACTTTTCAGATTTTTTTTTTTTTGTTAGACGTTTGCCTCACTTGCCTGGGCAAGGCAGGTTGCGCTAAAACTTACACGCCTGCATATTGTTGTAGAAGAAAGACAATTTAAATGCTTAATTTGAATAAAATTCCCATTTGAATAATATGATATATAAATATGAAGGGTCTAACATGTAGGTTGTTTATGTATCTTGTAATTTGTATATTTTTTTGATTAATAGTCCTACAGCTGATGTTAAATTGTCAGTACATGTATTTATTATATGCTTCAGGTTTACGCATTACTCTTAAGCCTGAATGTAGAAAGGTTCCTATTAATTCATGGCCTTACTTAATTACATGTCTGAAATAATAAGCTGCACGTTAAGAATCCGTGATAAGTGCTATTTAATGCATTTTTGAATATGGAGCACAGGTGCTTAATTGTGGAGAGGACCCCCCCCCCCCTTCCTTATATACACCCAAGGTCAAAATAAATTTTTCTTTTTCTTTTTCATGTATTAGTTTTCTAGAGAACTTACTTACAATATATTCCATATGAAAAAAAAAACGTATAGAATTAACACTTAAAAAAGTCATACTAGCTCTTTTTTTATAATACCCACGGGTATTTTTTTTTTAATAAAGCGCTTAAAATCACGGGTGTTATAGTGTTCAAATATTACCTCTTTCTACTGCAGACATTTTAAATGTGAAATTTATATGCAAATTATAATTTTTAAGACTTAAGTAATAAAAACAACACGATATAAAATGAATAATTATTACAAGGAAAAGTAAATTAAACAAGCGTAGCATTTTTTCCAGAAAATTAAAAATTAGGCTTGCCAAATATTCAAAAAATATATTTTTAGAGTTTTGTTTGCATTGAAAGGCACCATTTTAAGGTGTGTATTCATTGACCAATCAGAGAGCTTGATAATGAAAGAAGGTGAAGGACTTTCAGTCTGGAATTTTAAACACAGGAATTTTTTACACCTGTGGAACTACGATATTTATAATCTGATATTTATTAAGGAGGATGGCTACAAATCGAGACCAAGAAGGTTTGTCACTTTATGTTAATGATTAACCCCCTTCTTTCTGTTTTTCATGAAACCTGGTGTTGGTTCCATCTAACGTTAAACCGTTTTGTAAATATGAAATTCTAAGATATTGAAAATACTTTGAAATAATGTCATCTTACACTACAAATTAATCCCCATCGAATGAATATTAAATATTAAGACGTTTTTCGCCTTTTTGTGTCCCGATGCATTGCATCAAATTGTACTGCCATGAAAGATTTAAAAACAATACCGTACCGTTATTTATACGTTAGGAATTTAAAAGGCCATTGATTATTCAAATTGTTCTTGTATTGAATTGGAAACAGGATAAAAATAGTGAAGAGCATTTTTCATTTAATTTAAAGAGGTGAAAAAAATGTATATAATGCCAGACACCTTGGAGTAATTAATTCGATTCATTTCATTAACTGTAGACGAGTGTATTTTTAGACATAGATTCAGCTTGCTTCTTAAATTAGTTGACGGTGTAAATATTAAGAGCCATTCTCTGTAATGATTTGAAATTTCATATAGGAGTTGTGGCACGCATAGTCTCAGAATTTCTCCAAACTCTCTATGATAAAAGTCATTGATACCCTTAACTGAAATCAGGCAAAAATTGGTTGCTATGTTTTATAGTTACCATGGCAACATGTCTTAAAGTTCGAAAAAAGGCATTTTTTAACATGTTTAGAGCCCCATAGTTATCATTTGCGGCAAAGCAAATAATTGGCAATCACTGTTTCCAAAAGTTGAAGGTCAGATGTTTCAAATGCATGATAAACATGTTTGGTAAATCAAATATTACAAACGTTACTATGGTAACAAAGTATTCAAAAGTAAAAAAAAAATATTCATTGAATTTTATAAAGTCATACACGTAAAAATAAAAAGCAATATTTGGATGAAATGTGACCAAATAATAGAAAAAAGAGCCTTGAAACATATCCTTTAGAACAAAATATGATATTTCATTTTGGTTGGCAATGGTTGCCAAGGCTTTATACCACAAAGAGCCTTCAAAGTAACACTCTGTATGTTTAAATCTGATCCTATCTTTAAAAAAAACATTTCCTCATAACTAATGATCAATTTTATAAGATGTTGGTGTGCTCCAAGTTTTCCGATTTGAAAAAATTCAGATTAGATTCTTTAAATAGAGCGTTGCTATGGAAATAAGCAGAAAATATATGCTTAAAAACCTGAAAAATATTTTCTTTCCTTGGATACGTACCCTTAAATGTAGATTCCCAAAACTTTTATGATTGATATTTATTAACAGCTAACTTGACTTTTAATTTTGACTATCATCCAATCTCTAAGTGGATGCAAGAAGTTGGCACATAGGGTTAAATATTGATATAAAGTTCACAAAATCGAACATTTTCCCTTCTTGGTAACCATAGCAACAGTGTTGTTTTATTCATCAAATTTTATCAATATATGATATTCAACTTCAGTTCTAACAGATTAGTTCTATTCAAGCTGAGTCCTTTAGTTTGTTTCTTGATTAAATGGCAATTTAATTCTTAATGCAGTGAAAAATAATTCACTTTTAAGCACTGGTACTTTGTTTCCATGGTAACACTATATAATAGCAATTATACCCAATTTTTCTTATGGTTTTGGTGTTGCAAGGTCCTAAGGATGCATATTTGCCAGTCTTGAATTTTCATGTTTTTCCTCAAGACAGTAGCATTAACCCGATCTTAGTTACTGGTTTTGCATGGTTACACTGTGTTACCATGGCAACCATAAAAGTCTTTATAGAATAATATTGCTTATACTTATATACTTAAGGTCAAACATTTTCATTGTTTTTCTTAAGTCGCTGATTGAGTTTGAGCATGTAACACCTATCATTAGTGAATACGGAGTGTTTTTCAGCATATTTCAGCATTTGAAATGTATTCCAAAAGTACCCTTGGTTACCGCTTACTTAGAGATATATTCTAAACAGTTTCTTTACAGTATAAGTGACATCAAGGTGTCTTGTTTTTGTGAGAATGGTTTGTTT